CTCAAGTTACTAAGCTAGTCTCTTTAGCACTATTTCTTACCTGCCCTGGTTCGTCATCGGTGAAGTACTTATCTGGGTGTCCACAGTGGTATATTTGTGTGTTTGCAACCTAAGAAATTAGCGATGAAAATGAGAATCTCTTTGATAAAATTTTGTGGTGGATGCCTTTTTTAGTGGATTTGGGCCTCAACAAATGCAAGAAGGGCATTTAATCACTCTGTTATTGAGGACCAATTGATGATTGATCATGCAAATGTGTTCGTAGCATATTTCTATAAATGGAAACTAAGCTTAGCAAAAAAGACATCCAAAATTAAGCTTGGGAAAGCTAAAAAGTTAATTCTGAAACTTGATGGCATGGAGATTGACTGAAAATCCACAAATTTCTAATGGCAAATCATTGAACCAGTGGGAAAAGTCTTTCTGTTGTCGTTTTTATTTTGTACGAGAATGTTGTGTAAGAAGGTAAAGGATCTTTGATATTGAGCTGCATCGCATACACTGTTGTTACATGTTGAAAGCCTAACGTTGCTGAATGGTTTGCTATCTAATTTTGTCTGCAGCGGCCTCATGACCATATTCTACCTGTACAAGATTGCAACTGGTGGAAACCATTTCCCGCCCAAGACCGAGTGATGGCATGGAGCATCTCTTCCTATACTGATTCTATACCGTATCTACTGAGAAACAATTGCCCAAAATCATGGATTCGTCGATATTGCTGGTTACGCCTTTTTTTTTTTGTCGTGTTCTCTGGATAGAATGACTGTATTAAAAGAAGAATGCCAGTATTTTCCTGACTGTTAATGTTTCTGATAGATCTTGTATTTTCTAATCGTACAGAGCACTGTTAACTAATATTCGAATTCATGTTTCTGATAGATTTTGTATTTTCTAATCATACAGAGCACTGTTAACTAATATTTGAATTCTGTCAAGAGCTCGACGTGCAATTTTTTAGTATTATTTAGAAAATACTTATTTTTTAGAACTGTTTTATCTTTTTTTGAATTTCACCCCCTACAATATCATATCCTTAGTTGCATCAATATTTTGATTGCCATGGCAAAATGAACCATACATTGTATTCTGTCATACAGAGTTTTCGATTTCTAGTCCTTTCTTGAACCTAGTCCTTTCTTGTTCAAGAAAGTCGAAAATATAGTAAATGATAAGATGGAACTGTGTCGATCATAAAAATATTTCCTACCTATAATAAAAAGGGGAATGAGGAGTCACTGTTCTTAGGAACAGTGATTAGTTCCATTCCCTTTTATTTTCCCTTTTATTTTTTTTTGAAATTTGAAAGGAGATGCCACTGTTTTTCTTTTTTTTACTGGCACGTACAGTGTTGCCACTTCCATTTAGTCTATTTTTCTTCTTTTTTCCTTTTTTTCAAAAGGAGGTCAGAGTTCA